CATCAGATTCCCTTTAACAATGTTCGGAAATGAATATTTCATTCATTATTACATATACTCCCCCTTATGATGAAATGAGAATCATTCCATCATACAAAAGATGAATGAAATTTTCCGTTTAAACCGTCAGATCATGAAACTGTAAGTAGATCTTTGCAAATCCACTTATTTAATTTTTTCAGATTAAGAGAATGGGAAGGTAACATCCAATTTCAACATATGAAATTGTTTTCAATCTTATAATAAGATTGGCCTGTGAGTATAACAGATATACTCAGTACAACGGATGTACTGTATATATGAGACTTTTTTATGTTCATCTCACCAGGTCTTCCATTCAATCATCGATAGCTAAAAAATAGCATATCTATGAACGTTTTGGCAAATTAACATATAAAATGTTAAATCTGTGTAGTGTAAAAGAATAAAGCAATTAATGCTTCTGTTTTAGGCTCAAAAAGATAAATCATGTAGACTACACAAATTTATCAGACTCAATATGTGATCAAATGTTAGCCATCAGAAGAACATTTGCTTTTCCAATCCCATAAAGCAAGTCAACACAAAGCAACCATCCTTTAATGCACAATTTTCTAAATTATTGTTTGAATTCAAAGTAAATAAATAAAATATTATATATTAAATTTAATATATAAATGAACGTAAACGAACTGTAAATGAACGAACGTCCACGAACATAAATATACGAACATAAACGAACTTTCCACCAAACGGTTCACGAACGGTTTGTTGAACGTTCGGTTCGTTTATAGCCCTAATCACAGTGCTGCTACCACCTTCATAAATTACATTAAATGTGCTAAAGAAACAAGAAAACAGCAACTGTGCATTGTTCTTATAATGAACTTTTATGTTAGCATGAATCTTGCTCCAACATACATAAATAATTGCAACTAACTGGCCATTCAATTTTTTTGTTCCAGCATTTCTGGGTTTCTATTTCCATGATCTTCTTCATTGCTGCTACCTTGTTCACCCTCCTGAAGCTATGTGGTAATATTCTCCTCAAATGACTATATTTTACTGCCCATTATATATGTTTTGATCATAACATTTATTTGTGATTTTGGTTTATAATTGCCATCAAGTTACTTATGCAACATTTCTTTTTCATATTTGGGAAAGGAAGTCAGTCATTAATGCTATGCATACTGTGTAATGTTTCTTAACATATATCAACATGCTTGGTATGATTTTTGGTGTATTACTGCTTATTTATTGATTATTTGGGATTTTGCTCTTACATGTTGCAAGCATATATTATTGGGGTTTACTTGGTATATATAGATGGTATGTCGCTAATCACTTTCAATATATAAATCTTGATTTATTTGATTGCCATCCAACTTTCTCTTTTACATGCCAATTACTGGTGCTCTACCTCCTTTTTGACATGTTCAAGTGTAATATGATCTAATGACTTGTTGGTTCACAGCAATATCTGAAAATTATTACACTAAATATACAACCAAATTTTCTAGCAAAAATACATATGTATTCGGTATAACCATATTGCCTTTTTATTCATTTATATTCTGTTCATTTTGAGGGGATTTCACCTCATCAAATATATATAACTAAGTGTAATTTCTTTGCAGTGTTAAAATAAAGATAATAAATTATATAATCTTTAGCAATACAGACTCTTAAAAATCTCTTTACACATTTGACTCTAATACAGCGGGTTAATATTGCACGACACCCTAACATACCTACTTTTCTTGATCGTGTCTTCAATATTACTAATAAGGTCTGATACTAAGATAACAGGATAATCTATACTATATTAGACCATTTACAGACTGTACTCTAAATGCAAAATAAGTAATTTATCTTGAAATTTTCAGTTTAAAATGAATCCTTTTTCCCGGTGCTTTCTTTTAATTTATAACTGATAGTCACATTGATGATCTGTCATGTCTGCCAAGAGTGCATACAACAAAAAGTTTAAAAGTAGTAGCTAATATTATTTCTTTATAGACTTTGATCAGAATTAGTAACAATGCTCGACTATGTATTTAACTTTTCTCAGTTAATAAATGAAGTTTGATATGGATATATCCAATGTCTAAGCAATTGCCTGGGCAACATGGATCTCATAGCTATGGTGGAAAATGGCAAATATGACAGACCTGCAACCCAAGCCGTGATATTTGGGTGGAACGGACATGAGGTTATTAGTCATATTGCCGCTTTTCAGTGCATTTCTATACCAAAGTAGGAGGTGAAAAGTGATTCCAACACGTAACAAATTAATTTATATTTTTGGTAAGACAATGGACACTTGGAGAATAAAGTTACACAATCATAAATAGAAGTAACTAAATGGATGAGGATAATTAACAGATGCAGTGGTAAATGTTTAATTTATTGATGTTGTAAGATGATTTTAGTTTAGCTACATAGATGCATTATCGATTCAAAAACTAAAAATGATCTAAAATCATAGAAAGGATTCAAAACTAAGAATGATCTAAAATTGGGATGAGAGGGGGATACCAACAGAGATTGCACTTTGGATCTCAGCACACTTGAACAGAAGTTGATCAGAGTCAACACCAACCTCCTGGTCATCTTCTTCAATCAACCTATTCCGCTGGTTGTGACTTCCACTCTACCACAACAAAATCCATCAAAAAGAAACATTAACCCCTACAAACAATTATTTGCAAACGGTCACAAATTGCAACATTGGGTTCAAATGCTACAATTCCCGAGTAGAACAAAAATCGGTAATTAGAAATTAGGTTGCAAAAATAAAAACAGATGCCATGGAGAAACCCAATAAATTGAACAATATGGTAAAAGAAACAAACATACTACAATCCCTAAGTAGAACACAAATGGGTAATTAGAAATTAGGTTGCCAAAATAAAACAAATGCCATAGAGAAACCCTAGAAATCGAACAATATGGTAAAGGAAACAAACCTTGGAAAATTGGATCCTTGTATTCTGGAAAACAACCACAAGAGACTTCGAAAACCTGCTTCAAATTTATACGAGTAGAGGATGTGAAGTATCTGCATCTAAATCGGTTGAGCAGTTGAAATCGGTAGGACGATATGCACGAAGCAGTTGAAATCGATAGAACGATATGCACGAAGAGGTTGTTTGAATTTAAAATAGAGAATGATATGGAAGAATCCGAGGGATATGGATGTGGAATTGAGGATATGAATCAAAGAGATGAGGGATATGAACTAATACATAGGAGGGATATGGACGTCGAATTGAGGAAGGGATGGATCGCTTTAATAGGTTGTACCATTAACAACAGATGTTGTTTTTAAGAGTTTTCAATAATTTTAAGAGTTTTTAAAAGTTTTAACCAAATGCATTATAAGGTAGTATAGATAAGATAGTATAGATATATGATGTATATTGGCTATTTTGTATTTTTATTTTTAAAAGCGAACCTATTTTGATTTTAACATCGACCCCGCGATCGACATGCGCGCGCACACTGATTTATGCCGATTTCGGAACTGATGAGACGATGATCCCGTGAAGACTCGACATCTTATTTTGATTGCTAGAAATGCAGCAGCAATCCCACAAGAACGACAACAGCAACTACGATTATCTCTCTCCTTTGCTGCTTTCTTAACAGGATCCGGTGTCGGCACCCTCACCGTTCCTAGATCTTCGTCTATCCTATCGTCACAGCTGGAAGATCATGAAACGGGGTACCGCTTGGGTTCTGTTAGTCCTCTTCGTCTTCGTTTTCGTTGCCGCATCTCGCGTTTCAGCTAAGGTAGCTATTATGAGTTCTCGCCGTGTGTTTGTTGGTTTATGTTTTAAGTATAATTCAGAGTGAGGAATTTGTTTGGACTTTTTCAGGACCTTTTCGTCGAAGATGATGATGCGGAGTCAACTGGATCCATTATAGATCTGGGCCGGCGTAGTAAGGTTAGCACTCTTTCTTTGGCAACGCCAATAGTCGCACGACTTCTCTGTTCTCCTATGCCAGAACCCCTTGAAACAAACGGGATGTTGCTGGGAAATGTAGTGAAAATGCGGTTAACTGTGTTGTTGATGGGTTTTGTGATAATTGAGGTTTTAGGTTACTATTAAGATCGTTTAGTAATGTGAGGAGAACAGAAACTGAAGTAAAATGAGAGTTCCAAAGAATTAATTACCTAAAAGATACAATCATACAAGTAATTATGGAGTATACAGTTATTCCTAGAAAGATCCCTGATTTGTCGATTCAAATCCGTGAGAACCTAATGGCTGGAAAGATTGTTGTATAAGATAACATTCAAACATGATGCTGAGCTTAAATTTTAGTTTGTAGGATGTGTTCTTTTGGTTCCACTCCTTTCCAACTTGCTTCTTAATTCAACTTTAATCTGACAGTTTGCATTCTCTTTAATTTATATGTATTTCAACCTTCTATTTTAGTTAACCATCAAATTATTTAGGATTTTCATGTTTTACTTAGAGCAATCACTCTTGTATGAACTCATGTTGCATTTCATAGCATGTCCTAATTACTCTTGGCCTTTTCTACTTTAGAGTCAGGTTATTTTTCAGGGATAAAGAGAACATGATTAATCTCAAGGCTGCATTACTGAAGGATCTTACCTCTACAGTAAGCATAGATAAGAAATTCATCAAGACTTGACACCAGAGTTTCTGTATATTATATAGCATAAAATATAGACAACATTTGTAATAAGTGGGACTCTATTTTGTTTGAGTTGCACACCTTTGCAGAAGGTCTGTGGTGATGCAATATATTAGTTAGGGGCAGAAAGTGCCTTCTTTCAAATAACCATTCGTTGTGCTGCCATGTTATGTTTTAGTTTAATTTCTTAGTTTCTATTCAACCACTCTTTTCAGGAATGAAACTAAGAACCACAAATGTATTAGAACATGTATGTAGCATACATAGTCAAACCATAATAGTCCTTATCTAGGAAAATAGAACAAAAAGAAAACCAGAAAATTGAATAGGTAGAATTTACAACTTAGCAAACTTGCATTCTTCAACTCCTTGTCTTAGCTTGAAGTCCCACTTCTTTTAGCTCACATATAAGTATCTCCACGAATGAAGTCCGTTTAGTACTTACAATGAACAAAAAGTAATTAAGTACTTATAGTGTTTCATAATAAATGCAAGAAATTTTTCTTTGGTCATTCCAAAGTAAATGCAACGTGTTCTTATTGGGCAAGGTTCTAAACCAACTTATGATATTTTCCCTTTAGTGAAATTACAAAAGAATGGAAGCATAAATTTTAGTACTCCAGCTTCCTATGTTTTTTCATTATTGAGGGGAATTTTAGATGTTTCATTACTAGTTAAAGACTTATATTAAACTACGTGCCAAGTCAAACACTGCATTTATTTTGGGATGGAGGGAGCACTTGGTGGAAACTAGAAAACAAGCGCACTGTACCATTATAATGACAGAAAATTTTGGTGTGTATTAAAGTATTATATGAATATAAAATTGTGAGCTTACTCATTCATAGGTAAGTGGAATCTACCCGATACCCCCACATGGATGTAAGGTTGTTTCAAGGTTTATTTTGCTGGGAAAACAATGTTCGATTAAGAACAAGAAAAAGTAAGTAATAGTCAGAAACCAATTACTTTTGGGTTTTTAATTCAATAATGTGCTTTAACTCTCAACCCTGTAACCCTTGTGTATTACAGGTATATGCCATATACAAAAAAAAAGATGCAATATAATTTGACTTGGACTATATGCTATTAATTTACTTCCATCTTTGCAATTGCTCCAAAGGTAACTACTATGCTTAGAATAGATAGTTGAAAAGGAACAACTACAAGATGTATTCGAACATACACATACTTCAATAGAAACCGTTACTTCGTGCATTAGTTTTTACAACAAAAACTGAGTACATCGAGGAAGATCTGTACCAAAAAATTACTCCCTCAGTCCGAGAATAACTCTCAACAATTGAAAAGGCACACAATTTTTGGAACATGTAATTATTACACCTTTTAAGTAACTAAATGACAATTTTACCCTTAATAATAGAGAGAGTAATGAATTTCTTCATCTCATTAGAATCAGAAAGTAGACACTTATTTTGGGACAAACTAGAATAGAAATGTTGACACGTATTTTGAGATGGAGGGAGTAATAGTAAAGCTAGAAAGGAAAGAAATATAACAAACAAAATATCATTGCATTACTAAAATAATTCTTATGTTTAGCCACTTATCTTCATAATGAACACTCCACTAGCTCGAACATAAGGCATTGATAACAGGAGTGCACAATGATGAAGATGATAGCCAAGTTGTGGTCTTTATGGCATGCAAACTGATTTTGAATTTGAGAATGTGGAATCTGATGGTACGGGCATGACTCAGTTTATGAAGCTGATAGGAGCTTAATGAGTATTGGCATAATTCTTATATATTTTACAGACTTTAGAAGTATAAATGGTATTAATTTCTTTAGGCTTGTACCCGAACTCTGTTATGGGATAGCTGGTTTGAATATCTGTAATTTTTTTTCCATTGTTCATAATGAAAATTTTCTTGGGTTACTGTTCCCTTTGTTAAAGAACTACAAGTAATGAGATCAGATAATTTTTTAACATATAAAATAATGTATATTGAACCCTGCAGCATACAAATAATCAGCATCATTAGTTGCTTCCACATTGATTATTTACTCATCAGGGTCTCCAACATTTCACTATTGCTCTTTTGTCAAATTGGGATTACGGGTTGACTGATTTGCTTCTTCGGTTGATGTCTCACCCACCTATTTAACAATTTTTACATTCCATGTTTCATGTTCTTGTATTGAACGATTTTGATCTTGGTAGAGTTGGTCCTAGGGTTGACCATTGACTCACCAACCTTCTTCAGTTAATTCTATCCATGCAGTTTTCCTATTTAAGAAGGCAACTCATCACCATCTTTCTTTGTACCCTTGTATATGCAACACACCACCTAGACTTAATCGTAGGCAGAGATTGGTGGAACAATGTATTTACTTTGGAGCTTCGGGCGAGGGACTCACTCATTGTCATGCTATAGTTAAATAGGACATTGGACTGCACCTTCTGAAATTTGTCTGGAAGATGACGAGTATGTTCGGTGGACTTCACGTCACCATGCTTTGAATCGGTGAGTGAAGAAAATCAATGTTAAAGCTTTCTTTGTTCTCTTTGGTTACAAAACTTGCAAGGTCTATTATAGACCTGACTGCAATGTGGTTTTCTTCATTAAAAGATGCACACAATGGTACTGAACTGTATGTGTGCTGATGCACTGGCAATAAATTTGTATATTACCCTTCACTTACTATACATGAGGATTTTTGTGAGAGGACAAAAAGGTAACAAGTAACAGTTCTTTTGGAACATCAGTTAGGGATAGTGCTACACGTTTAGCACCAGCGCGCCATTTGGGTGAGAACTTTAGGATAGAATAAAACAACAATTCAGACTTTGTAGTTTAAAATGTAGTTCTATCATAGTAGAGTTTAAAAAAATTAGTGAAATGACAATTTACTTCAGTCTGTTAAGTAAATGGAAGTTGGAGGTGAAGAAGATATTCCTTCTAATAGCCGTGAAGTTTTAAGCCATCGACTCTTTATGGGATAACAAAGAGAGTTTCTATTTTCTGCCACTCTAATAAAGATTCATATATACTGATTATAGTTGAGGGCACCATGCTTGATATATCCATTTTAATGTTGTCCTATTGTGTCAATAAACGCATGCTTACCTAGGTGATCTCAAAGAATTAACTTATGCCAGATTTATAAACCATGTCAGTATTAATTACTTTGGATTTTTATTAGATAATTAGATCCACAGAAAAATTTGGATATTTCAATATACACTTGTTAATGCGAGGATCTGGAAATATCCAAAATAAAATGTGTATTTCTTTCTACAGGTTGTTGTGGCCAAACTCAAGAACAATGTCATAGGTGACAAAATTGATCCCAAAGCTGTACTCAATTTGGATTCTGGACTTGGAGTCTTTGATGCATTCTTTGCTAGTTTGTCAATGATCCTTGTCAGTGAGGTTGTGCGCTTTCTCCCACTTCTCTCTTTTTCCCTTGCATAAGTTTCTTACTTCTGACCAATTGCTGAGGATCATTGTTGCACCATGCAGACATACATTGTTATTTGTTGTTTGTATGGTCCAAAGTTTCTTAACCTAAAAATGAATGAATATCTCAAATTCTTCACTAGCGTTTACTGTTGACTGTTATATCTATGCTGGGAGATTTAGTAGAACAATTAATTTCTTTAACTTTTAAGATTGGTTTGCTTCTCAAAATACTTAACCCAATGCCCCATTTTATGTGCTAGATTGGAGATGAGACTTTCATAATAGCAGCTCTTATGGCAATGCGTCATCCCAAGTCCATTGTTCTGTCTGGTGCACTCAGTGCGTTATTTGTAATGACGGTATGCTGCATCTTTTATTTCCATTTCTGTTATCACTAATGTTTCTTGTTGCTATTTTGAGAACTTTGGATATATTAATGAACGCCAATCACAATAGTTAAACTTCAGTTAGGCCAATCACAATAGTTAAACTTCAGTTAGAAGAAGTATGGTTTAGTTTCTTGCTGAGCATTATGAATCTTAACTATGAAACACGATCTTTTAGCTTTTAAGACAACTGCAGTAAGATTCTGTTTTGTACTTGTCATTCAGATACTTTCTACAGGACTTGGTAGGATTGTTCCAAATCTGATATCAAGGAAGCATACAAACAGTGCCGCTACAGGCATGTCTCAGTCTTTTCTTCTATGAAGTTGGTTGTTGCATTAAGATATTGCTAATAGTACAGTTCTGTCCACAACAACTTTCCATATGGATACAGTTGATATCTTTTGATGGTGCTACGTGCATTCCATCATTCCTTTTTTTGCGCCCCTGATATACCAAGGCATACACAGATAGGACCTGGGGTTTACATTACATTTAGAGTATATTTCAGATTTGGTCCCTGAGCTATGTCACTTTTAATGAAACTGGTCCCTAATCTTCAATTATTAGAAATTTGTCCCTGATGTTTGCAAAATCGACTGGTTTTGGTTCCTCCCGTTAACGTCATTTCTGTTAGTTCTATTTTAATGAGTGGCAATTTGGTTTTTTCGTTCTTTCATTTCTTTTAAAAATAAAAATAATACATAGTATATATTATTTTCTGTTAATTCTAATTATATGAGTGTCCCCATGATGGTTCCTTATTCTGCCTCCCTGACCCAGCAGACCATATCTGCACAATTTTTGGTGAACCACTGGCCCATCTTACTCTCACCCCCACCACCAAAAGTTGCCGTAGATAAAGGGTCGTTGGCGAGTTGTTCGTCACATGGAGCTCCAATGGAATATGATCTCCGATGACTGCCCCTCCGATTCAAATCGTCCGAGTAGATCCACTAGGGAATCGAATGTGAAACAAAGTTCATGGCCCCTTCGATCATCCATGGCAACTCCTCTGATTTAGTTAGGGAAGCTTGTAAATCTCAGAAACCTTGTTGAAAGAAAACCTAGTAAATGGGGTGGGTTGTGATTGAGGCTGTTGAGGACATAGATGAAGATGGTTATATCGAGGGTTGCATTGGCCAAGTATAGGGTACCGGAGATGGGAGGGGCGTCGGTTGTGGTCAGTTATGGGAATGTCAATGTGTTGTGTGTGTATATGTATATCTTATATAAGATATAAGATATAATGTAGAGTAAGTTATGGACTTGGTCATTGTGGTTTTATGTTTGTTTTGGAATTGGTCCTTATAGTTGTTTTATTCCAAAATACCACCATAGTTTCATTTTCATAATGTTTTGGTACCTGCTACTAATGGCTGTTAACTTTCATCTATTAAGTGAGGGGTAATTTGGTCTTTCCCATTTTCAGTCACATTTCTTTTAAATAAAATAAATTAGGATTTTTGATACCAACCAAAACAAGTCACATGTCACCCCTTCCCACTCCCCTGTCCTCTACACCTGCCGATCCCACCCTCTTCCCCTGTGACAAAATCATACCAAATTAGGTCCTTCTCTAGCCAAACCATGGTCATCTTCTCCGACCACTCAATGACCACAACACAAACACAACAAAACTCAAATCAAACCCACATCCAAATCTCAAAACCAAAACCAAAACCAAAACCAAAACCGAAAACAAAACTAAAATTGAAGTCAAAATCAAAATCCAAATCCAAATCCAAACCCAAACTTCAAAATCAAAATCAAAATCAAAATCAAAATCAAAATGGCAATCAAAATCAAAACCAAACCTCAAAAACACAACCAAAACCAACATAATTGCTTTGCTTTGTTGCTTTGTGACCTCAATCCATCTATAACAACCGGGTCTCATAGATACATACAGCCTTGCTGGGGTTTCAAAAAACACACCCCACACACAGAGAACAACACGAGCAAGGGTTGAAAGTTGAAACACACAATCAAAGGGTAGTAAGTCGACAATTGTTGGATCATTGCTGGATTAACGAAAGGGTTTGGCCGACAAATATAACCCCTAACTGTTACTCCAACATGGTCAACAAATAACCACATATAACCAAAGGGTCTTTGGCCTAGCGATATCGTAGTCTTTGGCCTTCTAGGAGGTCAAGGGTTCAAACCTCACCAAAGGTGAGGAGGGTGTGTGAGTTTATTTGTTGCATTTGCTGTCTATAAATATTATATACTTAAAAAAAATAATCCCATATAATGACCGTAGCAGGCCGAGATGCGCGCTGTCATTGGAGCATGAATCTTCGTGCTTACCGGAGATAGAGTGGTGGGATGCTGAGGAGATGACACAATATATTTAATATCTTATGGTGATTAGTTGCTCCGGTGAAGACAATGGTTGGATGCAATGGGGAAGGATGGTGGTGGTTGGTTGTTTTGGAGAACACAACGGTGCAATGTGAATGAGAGGGGCAGTGGGTTTCAAGGAAATGGACGGCGGTGGGTTTGTTTCCATGTGAGCGGTAGGGGTGGAGTGGGAGGGGGTGGGTTGAATGTTGTGTGTATATACATATAACATATATATAGAGAGAGAGGCGCCTTCTTTTGCTAACCACCAAAATAGTGCAAACTTTGCTAACTAATATACACATTTGATGGATTTAATCAGTGGCCATTAATTCAGAGGTGGCATAATTGTAATAACTAGAACAATTAAATGGTTCATTGACATGAAATTAGTTATACAACAGTAAAAAAAGTAATCCCATTCCAAATCCAATTTTAGAAAACAACTTTCAATCCCGGGAATCTCTCCAATAGTCTTTTCATTATCTTTTCATCGGGCAACTTTCTTTTTTCAAACAAAAATTGAGGATGAGTAACTTTCTTTTATTGGGACATTTATGAATACCTAGTAATTTGAGAAAGGGATATGAAATGGATCACCTATGAACTTGCAATTATTCCTTAAGTGAGATATAAAATACATCAACAAACGTTACAATTTTTTGTTAAATAAAGTATGCAAAGTGTTGGAATATCTAGGATTATAGATCCTAGTCTTTAGGATGTTTGTTACCATGATAATCCAAAAGTTTGTTAGCCATGATAATCCAAAAGTTTGTTCCCTAAGTTGTAGGATTAGTTTGTTGTATCCTAACCTTATAAAACTGTGTTTTTCTATGTATCAAAATACACATAAAACTTTTCTCTCCTTGAATTATTATATGGTATCAGAGCCTAAGGATTCATGCTGTGTTTCTATGCTCCAACACTAGTCCTGTTCTAGTTTTTTCATTTGACTATAGTTTGGATTTCTGTTTCCCTCTTTAATCAGTGCAAGACTGCACTTTTTTTTCCTTTTTTTTTGTTGAGCAATTCATCACGATTTGTCGTCCAACATCATGACAAAAGAAACCATGGTATCGAATCTTCTACCAATTCTCAGTCCCCAACCTATAGTGATAACTCTCCTTTGTAGTCACAAACTCGATGGAAAGAATTTTCTGCAGTGGTCTCAGTCAGTCCTAATGGTTATCCGAGGATGAGGCAAACTGGGATTCCTCAATGGTATCATCCCTCGCCCTAGTTCTACTGATAAGCAATATGATATGTGGGAACTCAACAACTCAATTGTGATGGCATGGCTCATCAACTCTATGGAAAACAACATCAGCTGTACCTATCTATTGTTTAAAACTACAAAAGATATATGGGATGTAGTCGATGGAAACTACTCCGACTTGGGAAATGCCTCCCAAGTGTTCGAGATCAGATGAAGTTGAAAGAGATTCCTCAAGGTACATCGGAAGTAACTAACTACTATAATAGTTTGAAAGTCTTATGGCAGGAACTAGATATGTTCTATGAAGTTGATTGGGGCCAAGTCGAAAAACATGTCAAGTTCAAGGTGCACATGGAGAAAGAAAGACTATGATTTCCTAGCAGGTTTAAATCATGATTTAGATGAGGTACGTGGGAGAATTCTTGGCCGAACCCCTTTACCATCAATTGGTGAAGCATTTGCTGAGGTTTGCCATGAAGAAAACTGGTGCCGTGTGATACTCGGGGAACAAAAGGAAGCTAAAACGGTCTCCAATAATGGGAATTGTCCTATAGAGACCTTTGCGCTTGTCTCAAAATGGACCACCCGTCTTTAAGCCTAGAGAAAGAGAATACTCAGGGCAGAACAAGCAAGGAGAACGTGCGTGGTGTACTTACTGCAACAGGACAGGCCATACACTTGATAAGTGTTACAAGATTCATGGATATCCATGGGCAAACAAGAATCAAACCACAACTAAGGTGCACCATCATCCTCTCTTGTACCAGAGGAACTACCTACCCTAGATGAGGTAATGAATGTCCAGCTGAACAGAGCCCAGTTAGAGACTTTGCACCAACTCCTCAACAAACCTATCAAAGGTAATGCCTTTAATGTTCTTTCAAAATTCAGTGGTAATACCTATTGGATCTTTGACTTAGGGGCAACCAATCACATGACCTGAAACTCCTCTCTATTTCATATGTATAGGCCTTGCCACAATCAATCTAGGGTAAGGATCACCGATAGATCCTACTCCCCAGTTGCGGGCATGGGCTCGGTTCGCCCAACAAATCAAATCACACTCACTGAAGTCCTTCATGTTCCAAAGTTGACTTGTAATCTCTATGTATTTACAAGCTCATTCAAGATAACCAATGCTTGACTTCTATCTTCTACTGACTGCCATGTGCAGGAACAGGGATCGGGGAGGACGATTGGCAATGCTGAAGTTGAAGATGGACTCTATATCTTGGAAAAAAATCAATCTAAGAATAAACAAGCATATTTAAGCTCTGAAGTTTCACCTTCCAGTAATGACACAATCATGATGTGGCATCATAGACTAGGAGACCCAAACTTTCATTAACTTAAACATTTGTTTCCTCAACTATTTCGAAATAAGGATGCTAGTTCTTTTATGTGTGAAATTTTCCAGTTACCAAAACATACTTATGTTTCTTATTCTCTAAAACCTTATGTTACCTCTCAACCATTTTCTTTAATTCACAGCGATATACAGGACCAGTCGTATAAAAAAATTGTTTTCGGATCAAAATGGTTTATCACATTCATCGATGATCATACACGCCTATGCTCAGTTTATCTCTTTAAAGACAAATCAGAAGCCCCGAAAACCTTCCATTTCACACCATGATTCAAAATCAGTTCCAAACAACAATTCACATCCTTCGTACCGACAACGGTAGGGAATACTTTAACTCCACTCTAGGAACTTACCTCTCTGATCATTG